TCGTTGTTTGACGTATGATTACATAACTGTCGTCCATCTAACTGGATCTGACATAGTATTTGCGAATTGCATTCTTGCATAATAAGCTAAACATAACTGTGTTCAACTTTTAACTAAAGCAGAGCAGTTGTCTGTAGCATTGCTAAGGTATACTCAGGGGTTTTATGTAATCATTAAGTGAGACTAGAACACTGAATAACGAAATTCGTCATCTATATCAAACAAGTCATCTTTCTTTAGGCATGATCAGCAAATTAGTAAAGTTACTTTGGCCCGTCTATGGAACAAAACGTTTCTCGAGCATATGGTGACCTTGAAAGGCTTTCATTTTCACGAAGCTCGAAATATCACAAATACAAAACACATATTTTCCAATTATACATAAATGTTCAGAATCGTGTTGCGGATAAGCCCAAGTTGATGCGAAGCATCAGACGCCAATAAGTTCTGACGTGAGCTATCTATAATTAACATCAATTTACGTTGTGGTAGTCTTTGTTTGTAATCTTCTTCACTCCATTTTAATAAAATACTAAAATATAATCTTTCATAATCAGCACAAAATAGGAGGTAAGTCATTCAAATTATTCTAAATATCCTCATTTTACAGCTCCAAAACAGGAATACAGCGGTAAGTTCAGGGGAAACGAATTCGGGGCAGTTCTAATCTGCTGTGAGAGGAATTTAGTACTAACAAGTGAGGGAATACAGTTTGATAAATCATTTGATGATATTATCATCGAACACAACCAGATAGTTCATTGTGCAGAATCAATTGGAAAAATCAGAATCGATAGGTGTCGTGTGTCATACGTGTTTGTGACCGTTCCTTATGGTTGATCTCAGTTCGACTACAATACATCGTTATCTTTCTTTTGTTCGTTTATTCGCTCGTTCGTTCGTCCGTTTATTTATTTTTTTTCGTTATTCTCATATCAGCACAATTGAATCAAGCATATCAAGGAGCTAAACTAATCGAAGAACAAATTTTAGAAACGATTCCGGAATTCAAAGCAACGGACGCGGATGAAGCCAGTCAGCGGCGTTGAAAGTGTTTTTCGGAAATTAAACTATCGACCGTTATGCTGGCCATTAGAAGCGTCAAAACCTTTTCGAAATGAATCAATGAATTTATGGTATGAGGAAAGTCAAACTGTTGTGCATAACGATTGAGATCAGTTTAAACAGCGGTTGATGGAAAATGTACGAGATCCTGTAAGAGTTCAGTCAAAGTCAAAACCAACTCAGCAGCAGCAGCCGTCAAGCCAGACATTTGAATGCTATAGGCAGAAACAACAGTCAAGTAGTGCAGACATTCGTGAGGATTTTCAAAAATTCTCTGGTGTCGAATTATGGGTAGAGTCAATAAATGAAACATTTGCAGAGATCCGTATTCCACCAAATCAACGTCTCGATTTTATCCCATCGTTATTAACTAAAAAGGCCTTAACGTGGTTTTCTCGTAACGAATCAAAGTTTGAAACGTATGGTGTATTCGGTGATACGTTTTTGAGTAAATATCATGATAAGCATTTGCAGTAATCATTGGATAACTTAGCTAGCCGAAACTCCAAGGACGAAACTACAATCACAACAACAATAATTACGCCAACGACGCCGACCGGCACTCAGAATCAGTCAGCATCATCAGTACGAAGAGATTCTCATGAATTGAACATTCAAAAATTAATCAGTGATCATGTCTTGAGAAAATTAAACAGTTTTGGTGGCAAGAATGAAAATGTCATTCTATGGCTCGAGGGTTTTGAACTGCTTGTCAAATCCCAAGGATGGTCAGACGATCTGAAATTTAAATATGTACCAACACTCTTACAGGATGAAGCAATGAAATGGTATAAAAGAAATTCAGCAACAATCGGCTCATGGTCTGAATTTGAGAAGCAAATCAAAGAAGAATTCACATCAAGATTCAAAAACCGTAAAGCATTTGAACGCCTGCTTTATTACGAAGAATCAATGAATCAATTAATCAAGGATTATTATAATGAAATCATGGATGTTTGTAAAGAATCTGATCCACAAATGTCAGAAACAATCAAATTACAATATGTGTTGACTAAAGTCAAGCGAACATTGAAGCTGGAAGTCAGTAAACAGTTCCCAGAAACACCAGCGGCGTTCTTGAATTATGGAAAACAACTTGCAGAATTGATGAAATTTATGAAAGATGATCCAACAGCGGTTTGCGTTGCCTCTGCTCCTCAGCCATCAACGAGCTCAAGAATACATGCATCGATAAATCGGAACGATCATCGGTTGTATGTTCCACATCCGAGAATATTTGAGCAACAGCAAGAATCAAATGAATTACATCACTTGAAGGTCAATCGCCCAGTAACACCACTACCATCGTCTTCACAGACATCCAGAAACAATCCAAATCAGTCAGGTAATGCAGCTGCCAACTCACGATCAAACCAAACACAACACAATTTATTCTATTCGCGCACCGCATATTCTATATCCCGGCCACCACCACATAATTATTCAGGATGTCATAGTTGTGGCTCGCTGGATCATTATCAAAGAGCCTGTCCAAAGCGACAGGATTTTCCGTAGCGGAGTCATCGAACGATGGTGATACCTCCGGTGTAAATAACAACAAGAATCCATCATTAATTTTCATTTGTGTCGCAGTTAACAACAAGATAATGCAAGTTATGATCGATACCAGAGCAACTAACACGATTATCACCGAAAATGCTTTGAGAAAAACGAAACATAAAACATTCAGCACCCACATCAATCATTCTCTCGCAATGGCAGATGGAACAACTCCTTTGAAGGTGATTGGCACTGTGCAATTAATAATCAAGATTAAAGACATGATTACAACGATTATGGCATCTGTAGTTAAGGATTTACTCACTGAGTGCATCATTGGAACCGATTACATCACAAAATACGGTTTACAATTTGATGCTGGGAAAGAAACTATCACAGTGTGTCAACAACATCATAAGATTACCATCCCAATGAATAAACAGGATAATCCTGTTCGAGTGCCATTGATATTAACAGATTCGATCCGAATACCACCACAGCAACAGGTCACTGTAAGAGTGTCTGCTTGTATATCATCGTCCAAGGTGTTATTCAAGCCATCATACAACCTTAAACAACAAATTCCGGTGTTTATGCCAAATTCTCTTACAGACATTCAACAGTATTCAGCATTGATTCCAATTTATAATCCAACTAATTATCCATGTTATTTATCCAAAGGAGTGATTATCGGTGTTTCAACAGTGCCAACTAAACAACAACTAGAAGTGAAATCACCGTCAAGGAAGCTTAGCTTACAAGAACATATTGAGAACATGGTGAAACATATTGAAGATACTAATCAATGACAACATCTCAAACAACTGATTGAGCAGTTTCAACAGCTTTATGATACATCAAAAATTACAGTAGCAAAGACCAAGATATCTCATATGATTCATACAGTGGCATATGCACCATCTGTTTCTCGCCCCTATTGTACAACACCTGAGAAAGAAAAGGAAATGGAACGGATTGTGATAGAATTACTTGATGCTGACCTAATAAGCAAATCCAATTCCCAGTATGCAGCGCCAGCATTATTGACGCCAAAGTCAGATGGCAAATTAAGATTAGTAATGGATTACAAGACGCTCAACCATATCACTATCAAGGATAATTTTCCCTTGCCCAATATGGAGCAAACAATCCAACGGTTGGGCGAAGGATATCGATACTTCACCAAACTGGATTTAAAGAGCGGGATTTGGCAAATCCCTATCAGAGAAGAAGACAGGATCAAAACGGCATTCGTTACCCCATTTGGGTTGTTCCAATTCAATGTATTACCACAAGGATTGAAGAACTCGCCTCCCACATTCCAGCGTGTAATGTCTACAGCATTGGAATCATGTCGTCAGTTTTGTCAGGTGTATTTGGATGATATTGTGGTATTTTCAAAATCATATGATCAACATCTAGTACATATGAAAAAGGTATTTGAATGTTTAAAGGAAAATAACTTACAATTAAACCCATCGAAATGTTCAATTGCTCATTCAAACATCGATTGTCTTGGTTATACCATCACCAAAAAAACAATTACGCCGTTGAACGACAAAATTAATGCTATCCTCAAATTAAGTGAACCAAGAACATTGAAGCAGGCAAACAAGTCCATTGGTGCGATAGCTTGGTATCGTAAGTTCATCAAGAAATTTGCCGAAGTGGCTGCACCAATTCATGCAGTGACAAATTTAACCAAAGCGAATCGTCACAAGTTCAGACGGACGAAAGATCAATCAGCAGCATTCTATGAATTAAAAAAAATGTTAACAACAGCTCCACTGTTATTAAATTTTCTTGATGATAGTCGACCGATAATCCTGTCAACAGATCTTTCAGATTACGGAATTGGCGGTGTTCTTCAACGAGAAATCAATGGCGAAACCCATAATTTGTACTATCATTCACAATTGATAAACAAGGCGGAGAAAAATTACAAAACGATTGAGAAAGACGCTCTTGCGATCTGGAAATGCTTTGAAAGAATGAGATCGTATATCCTGGGGCGCAACATTATTATATGTACAGATCATTGCCCATTATGTCACATGATGGAAAAGAAAATCAGCAACAAAAGGGTGGAAAGGGTTGCTCTGCTTCTTCAGGAGTACAATATCGAACAAGTAATACATATTAAAGGCCGTTACAATTGTCTGCCAGATTTCATGTCACGACATCCAATTCCTGAAAAAGAAGAGATAATGGATTTCGCTTATGGTTTGGAAGTCAGTCAAGATCGTCCTCCTGTACTCGGGATGGCCGGTGTAACCACAAGATCCAAATCAAAGCTAGAGACATCCACGAATCAGCAATCTATTCCAGTATATCCGTCAACATCAACAGTCAAGGATGCAACCCAGAAATTTGTCCCTCATTTTGATATTACCAGATTGAAAGAAGAATAAACCATGGACCAAAAAATTCGAGGCAAAATTGCAGAAGTTTGCGCTAATCCGACCAAACACCCTTATATGTTTCAAGATGGTATTCTTTATAAGTTAGCAACTAGAAATCGAGGAGCAACAAAATCCAAATTTAGAGCAAATCACGAGAAAATGTCTCATTTTAATCAGAAAGTTGCGTGCTACAATCATGGCTTATTAAGACAGGCTTTGGTTACTGTTTAGAGTTTCTAAAAAATCAAAAGTGAAAATGAGTAAAAGTTCACATTACGTAAAAAATGTGGCGGTGAACAGAAATTATCCAAAACCTCCGCCTCAAACTTTGACTTTCGGATTAAACTCAGTGAAATAAAGACACTTTGCTAATTACTTTTAATTCATCAATTAATTAGCTCATTAGTTGTAATTAATTATAGTTTTAAAGAGCATGGTCTTCTTCATATATTAAAATAATAAAGAGTTATTCCCAAAATAACAGTAGGGAGAAATTCAAGATGAACAAACGGTAGGCGTGTCCACTTTTGGCTGATTTTGCTCAAATGTAATGGTTTTGTTTTTCGATATCGTTATAGCTGCACTATATTGTAGATATCTGTCTGCGCTCAGTCTACTACTCACTAAACCGAGTGAAGAAAAAATGATCATTTATGATTCAGCGTCAAGGGACCGAGTGAATCGAACGTGGGCTATTGACTTCTTTAGTTAAGGAATAGAAAATACCCGCATTTTCAATACTCTATATAGGATGAATATGATGTTATGAATGAAGAGCAAAAAAGAACCGACCGAACAAGATTATTCATCTCACTAGACGCACCTTTTATAGTCGTCGACTGAAATCTTCCTCTCCATCTTTGACAGTTAATCTAGAGGTGGCTAACGGAATGTTATAAACTCTACATTGAATTATCTCCTGCCACAAGCAATCACAGCTGCTCATAACACTTTAACTAAATGAAAATAATCTTTTGAAGCGTATAATGCTAGTTCACACGTTAATTGTCTGCTCTTGTATTCACTTTGTTTCGCGTTACTGCTTTTTCTTGTTTGGCTTCAGTCTTTATTATTATTGTCCGTCAGAGACCTTGGATGAGTGACATTTCGTGAATAAAACAATCTTAGACCTCGAATCTGGGTATCCTTTCGACGCACTGGTGGTTCAGTGGTAGAATGCTCGCCTGCCACGCGGGCGACCCGGGTTCGATTCCCGGCTAGTGCACTTTTTACTTTCTATTGACTTGTTTCGAAAAAATGCTGCAAGTGGTTGTGTCAGACTTGACTGTTTTTGATGTTCTCTAGTAGTTGTTGCTTGATAATGGTTCGACGTTTTCTAGAAAATGTTTGGTGTATGGTGTTTGGATTTATCGACTTTTTGTTCATCCGTGGTTGTAAATCAGCTTAACCGTATTTTACAATGCCATTTTGGTATTTCAGTGTAACCTTTTTTGGTTTTATAAGATTTCTTTGAGGGTATTCCTAATTCCACGGGACCAAACAAAGAGGGTATCTGCATTTGTTACTTAGAAGTTCCAAAAAGCGCGTCCGGCATGAAAATACCCTTTCTCTGGTTATTCTTATATTCGAGAGTAGTAGTTGTTGCATAGTTGTTTCTTGATCATAGTTAGACGTTTTCGTTGCAGTGGCCATCGTGCATTAACACAGCATGGTTGTCGTACGAACATGATAAAACTACCGGACGAACAAAAGTTCGATAAATCCAAACACCATACACCAAACATTTTCTAGAAAACGTCGAACCATTATCAAGCAACAACTACTAGAGAACATCAAAAACAGTCAAGTCTGACACAACCACTTGCAGCATTTTTTCGAAACAAGTCAATAGAAAGTAAAAAGTGCACTAGCCGGGAATCGAACCCGGGTCGCCCGCGTGGCAGGCGAGCATTCTACCACTGAACCACCAGTGCGTCGAAAGGATACCCAGATTCGAGGTCTAAGATTGTTTTATTCACGAAATGTCACTCATCCAAGGTCTCTGACGGACAATAATAATAAAGACTGAAGCCAAACAAGAAAAAGCAGTAACGCGAAACAAAGTGAATACAAGAGCAGACAATTAACGTGTGAACTAGCATTATACGCTTCAAAAGATTATTTTCATTTAGTTAAAGTGTTATGAGCAGCTGTGATTGCTTGTGGCAGGAGATAATTCAATGTAGAGTTTATAACATTCCGTTAGCCACCTCTAGATTAACTGTCAAAGATGGAGAGGAAGATTTCAGTCGACGACTATAAAAGGTGCGTCTAGTGAGATGAATAATCTTGTTCGGTCGGTTCTTTTTTGCTCTTCATTCATAACATCATATTCATCCTATATAGAGTATTGAAAATGCGGGTATTTTCTATTCCTTAACTAAAGAAGTCAATAGCCCACGTTCGATTCACTCGGTCCCTTGACGCTGAATCATAAATGATCATTTTTTCTTCACTCGGTTTAGTGAGTAGTAGACTGAGCGCAGACAGATATCTACAATATAGTGCAGCTATAACGATATCGAAAAACAAAACCATTACATTTGAGCAAAATCAGCCAAAAGTGGACACGCCTACCGTTTGTTCATCTTGAATTTCTCCCTACTGTTATTTTGGGAATAACTCTTTATTATTTTAATATATGAAGAAGACCATGCTCTTTAAAACTATAATTAATTACAACTAATGAGCTAATTAATTGATGAATTAAAAGTAATTAGCAAAGTGTCTTTATTTCACTGAGTTTAATCCGAAAGTCAAAGTTTGAGGCGGAGGTTTTGGATAATTTCTGTTCACCGCCACATTTTTTACGTAATGTGAACTTTTACTCATTTTCACTTTTGATTTTTTAGAAACTCTAAACAGTAACCAAAGCCTGTCTTAATAAGCCATGATTGTAGCACGCAACTTTCTGATTAAAATGAGACATTTTCTCGTGATTTGCTCTAAATTTGGATTTTGTTGCTCCTCGATTTCTAGTTGCTAACTTATAAAGAATACCATCTTGAAACATATAAGGGTGTTTGGTCGGATTAGCGCAAACTTCTGCAATTTTGCCTCGAATTTTTTGGTCCATGGTTTATTCTTCTTTCAATCTGGTAATATCAAAATGAGGGACAAATTTCTGGGTTGCATCCTTGACTGTTGATGTTGACGGATATACTGGAATAGATTGCTGATTCGTGGATGTCTCTAGCTTTGATTTGGATCTTGTGGTTACACCGGCCATCCCGAGTACAGGAGGACGATCTTGACTGACTTCCAAACCATAAGCGAAATCCATTATCTCTTCTTTTTCAGGAATTGGATGTCGTGACATGAAATCTGGCAGACAATTGTAACGGCCTTTAATATGTATTACTTGTTCGATATTGTACTCCTGAAGAAGCAGAGCAACCCTTTCCACCCTTTTGTTGCTGATTTTCTTTTCCATCATGTGACATAATGGGCAATGATCTGTACATATAATAATGTTGCGCCCCAGGATATACGATCTCATTCTTTCAAAGCATTTCCAGATCGCAAGAGCGTCTTTCTCAATCGTTTTGTAATTTTTCTCCGCCTTGTTTATCAATTGTGAATGATAGTACAAATTATGGGTTTCGCCATTGATTTCTCGTTGAAGAACACCGCCAATTCCGTAATCTGAAAGATCTGTTGACAGGATTATCGGTCGACTATCATCAAGAAAATTTAATAACAGTGGAGCTGTTGTTAACATTTTTTTTAATTCATAGAATGCTGCTGATTGATCTTTCGTCCGTCTGAACTTGTGACGATTCGCTTTGGTTAAATTTGTCACTGCATGAATTGGTGCAGCCACTTCGGCAAATTTCTTGATGAACTTACGATACCAAGCTATCGCACCAATGGACTTGTTTGCCTGCTTCAATGTTCTTGGTTCACTTAATTTGAGGATAGCATTAATTTTGTCGTTCAACGGCGTAATTGTTTTTTTGGTGATGGTATAACCAAGACAATCGATGTTTGAATGAGCAATTGAACATTTCGATGGGTTTAATTGTAAGTTATTTTCCTTTAAACATTCAAATACCTTTTTCATATGTACTAGATGTTGATCATATGATTTTGAAAATACCACAATATCATCCAAATACACCTGACAAAACTGACGACATGATTCCAATGCTGTAGACATTACACGCTGGAATGTGGGAGGCGAGTTCTTCAATCCTTGTGGTAATACATTGAATTGGAACAACCCAAATGGGGTAACGAATGCCGTTTTGATCCTGTCTTCTTCTCTGATAGGGATTTGCCAAATCCCGCTCTTTAAATCCAGTTTGGTGAAGTATCGATATCCTTCGCCCAACCGTTGGATTGTTTGCTCCATATTGGGCAAGGGAAAATTATCCTTGATAGTGATATGGTTGAGCGTCTTGTAATCCATTACTAATCTTAATTTGCCATCTGACTTTGGCGTCAATAATGCTGGCGCTGCATACTGGGAATTGGATTTGCTTATTAGGTCAGCATCAAGTAATTCTATCACAATCCGTTCCATTTCCTTTTCTTTCTCAGGTGTTGTACAATAGGGGCGAGAAACAGATGGTGCATATGCCACTGTATGAATCATATGAGATATCTTGGTCTTTGCTACTGTAATTTTTGATGTATCATAAAGCTGTTGAAACTGCTCAATCAGTTGTTTGAGATGTTGTCATTGATTAGTATCTTCAATATGTTTCACCATGTTCTCAATATGTTCTTGTAAGCTAAGCTTCCTTGACGGTGATTTCACTTCTAGTTGTTGTTTAGTTGGCACTGTTGAAACACCGATAATCACTCCTTTGGATAAATAACATGGATAATTAGTTGGATTATAAATTGGAATCAATGCTGAATACTGTTGAATGTCTGTAAGAGAATTTGGCATAAACACCGGAATTTGTTGTTTAAGGTTGTATGATGGCTTGAATAACACCTTGGACGATGATATACAAGCAGACACTCTTACAGTGACCTGTTGCTGTGGTGGTATTCGGATCGAATCTGTTAATATCAATGGCACTCGAACAGGATTATCCTGTTTATTCATTGGGATGGTAATCTTATGATGTTGTTGACACACTGTGATAGTTTCTTTCCCAGCATCAAATTGTAAACCGTATTTTGTGATGTAATCGGTTCCAATGATGCACTCAGTGAGTAAATCCTTAACTACAGATGCCATAATCGTTGTAATCATGTCTTTAATCTTGATTATTAATTGCACAGTGCCAATCACCTTCAAAGGAGTTGTTCCATCTGCCATTGCGAGAGAATGATTGATGTGGGTGCTGAATGTTTTATGTTTCGTTTTTCTCAAAGCATTTTCGGTGATAATCGTGTTAGTTGCTCTGGTATCGATCATAACTTGCATTATCTTGTTGTTAACTGCGACACAAATGAAAATTAATGATGGATTCTTGTTGTTATTTACACCGGAGGTATCACCATCGTTCGATGACTCCGCTACGGAAAATCCTGTCGCTTTGGACAGGCTCTTTGATAATGATCCAGCGAGCCACAACTATGACATCCTGAATAATTATGTGGTGGTGGCCGGGATATAGAATATGCGGTGCGCGAATAGAATAAATTGTGTTGTGTTTGGTTTGATCGTGAGTTGGCAGCTGCATTACCTGACTGATTTGGATTGTTTCTGGATGTCTGTGAAGACGATGGTAGTGGTGTTACTGGGCGATTGACCTTCAAGTGATGTAATTCATTTGATTCTTGCTGTTGCTCAAATATTCTCGGATGTGGAACATACAACCGATGATCGTTCCGATTTATCGATGCATGTATTCTTGAGCTCGTTGATGGCTGAGGAGCAGAGGCAACGCAAACCGCTGTTGGATCATCTTTCATAAATTTCATCAATTCTGCAAGTTGTTTTCCATAATTCAAGAACGCCGCTGGTGTTTCTGGGAACTGTTTACTGACTTCCAGCTTCAATGTTCGCTTGACTTTAGTCAACACATATTGTAATTTGATTGTTTCTGACATTTGTGGATCAGATTCTTTACAAACATCCATGATTTCATTATAATAATCCTTGATTAATTGATTCATTGATTCTTCGTAATAAAGCAGGCGTTCAAATGCTTTACGGTTTTTGAATCTTGATGTGAATTCTTCTTTGATTTGCTTCTCAAATTCAGACCATGAGCCGATTGTTGCTGAATTTCTTTTATACCATTTCATTGCTTCATCCTGTAAGAGTGTTGGTACATATTTAAATTTCAGATCGTCTGACCATCCTTGGGATTTGACAAGCAGTTCAAAACCCTCGAGCCATAGAATGACATTTTCATTCTTGCCACCAAAACTGTTTAATTTTCTCAAGACATGATCACTGATTAATTTTTGAATGTTCAATTCATGAGAATCTCTTCGTACTGATGATGCTGACTGATTCTGAGTGCCGGTCGGCGTCGTTGGCGTAATTATTGTTGTTGTGATTGTAGTTTCGTCCTTGGAGTTTCGGCTAGCTAAGTTATCCAATGATTACTGCAAATGCTTATCATGATATTTACTCAAAAACGTATCACCGAATACACCATACGTTTCAAACTTTGATTCGTTACGAGAAAACCACGTTAAGGCCTTTTTAGTTAATAACGATGGGATAAAATCGAGACGTTGATTTGGTGGAATACGGATCTCTGCAAATGTTTCATTTATTGACTCTACCCATAATTCGACACCAGAGAATTTTTGAAAATCCTCACGAATGTCTGCACTACTTGACTGTTGTTTCTGCCTATAGCATTCAAATGTCTGGCTTGACGGCTGCTGCTGCTGAGTTGGTTTTGACTTTGACTGAACTCTTACAGGATCTCGTACATTTTCCATCAACCGCTGTTTAAACTGATCTCAATCGTTATGCACAACAGTTTGACTTTCCTCATACCATAAATTCATTGATTCATTTCGAAAAGGTTTTGACGCTTCTAATGGCCAGCATAACGGTCGATAGTTTAATTTCCGAAAAACACTTTCAACGCCGCTGACTGGCTTCATCCGCGTCCGTTGCTTTGAATTCCGGAATCGTTTCTAAAATTTGTTCTTCGATTAGTTTAGCTCCTTGATATGCTTGATTCAATTGTGCTGATATGAGAATAACGAAAAAAAATAAATAAACGGACGAACGAACGAGCGAATAAACGAACAAAAGAAAGATAACGATGTATTGTAGTCGAACTGAGATCAACCATAAGGAACGGTCACAAACACGTATGACACACGACACCTATCGATTCTGATTTTTCCAATTGATTCTGCACAATGAACTATCTGGTTGTGTTCGATGATAATATCATCAAATGATTTATCAAACTGTATTCCCTCACTTGTTAGTACTAAATTCCTCTCACAGCAGATTAGAACTGCCCCGAATTCGTTTCCCCTGAACTTACCGCTGTATTCCTGTTTTGGAGCTGTAAAATGAGGATATTTAGAATAATTTGAATGACTTACCTCCTATTTTGTGCTGATTATGAAAGATTATATTTTAGTATTTTATTAAAATGGAGTGAAGAAGATTACAAACAAAGACTACCACAACGTAAATTGATGTTAATTATAGATAGCTCACGTCAGAACTTATTGGCGTCTGATGCTTCGCATCAACTTGGGCTTATCCGCAACACGATTCTGAACATTTATGTATAATTGGAAAATATGTGTTTTGTATTTGTGATATTTCGAGCTTCGTGAAAATGAAAGCCTTTCAAGGTCACCATATGCTCGAGAAACGTTTTGTTCCATAGACGGGCCAAAGTAACTTTACTAATTTGCTGATCATGCCTAAAGAAAGATGACTTGTTTGATATAGATGACGAATTTCGTTATTCAGTGTTCTAGTCTCACTTAATGATTACATAAAACCCCTGAGTATACCTTAGCAATGCTACAGACAACTGCTCTGCTTTAGTTAAAAGTTGAACACAGTTATGTTTAGCTTATTATGCAAGAATGCAATTCGCAAATACTATGTCAGATCCAGTTAGATGGACGACAGTTATGTAATCATACGTCAAACAACGA